GAGCCTAACCAACACATAGAATCTACAAACGTAGATCTCCATTTTTATTTCACTTTTCATCCCACAGCCTTTTCCCTAGTCTAGTCTACTCAAAATTTTGATAGTTGCTTGTTACAATTTAACTCGGTCTAACTATATAGTTTGACTTGGATTCTTATTATAAGATAAGGTACTTAATTTATCAACTTATGTATATTCAAATCATAATTCTTGATTCTGATGTTTGAAATTTAAATTTTTTTATAAAAAAAAAATTATTAAAATTTAATGATTTGAATTTGAATATATAAAATAAACGGACTTTCATAACTTCAGTTTTAGATAGCCCTAAGCCTTCCTTCAACATAAGTTGGTCTCTATCTAGTCAGGTATGTAGTTACAAGTTTTAAAAGGGAAAAACTATGTGCTTGTTTTGAATCGTTTTTTTAAAACGGTTTTTACGTATTTCAAAAAATATAAATAAAAATAAAAATAGAAACGAAACGACATTTGTTTAGTAAATATTTTGAAAACAAAAATAATAAAAATAATTTTTGTGAAGTAATTAGAAAACAATTGAAAATTATTTTCACTTTTCTGTTTTTATTTTTTAGTACTTATTAATAATATTATAATATATTAATTAATAAACTCGATTTCACTTTTTTATTATACTCAAAATAATCTCTTAAAGAACTAACCAAACATAATTTTAAAATCAATCACAAAATAATTATCAAAACAAACTCATTAAAAAATAAAATAATTATAAAATCAAATAGATGTTTGATTCATGTATTTAGAATTATGATTCAGAATCATTCTCATTTTACGTGTATTTTTTATGAGAAAAAAATACTGTAAAAAATTATAAATCATAGTTCAAAATAAAAAAATAAATACAAAAACCAAACATGATTTTAGAAACGCGCCTGCATATTTTAAACTTTCAAATGGGACTCCGGCTACCCTCGAATAGAACTCATTCTGCCCGTCTCTATCCTAAAACTACCTTTCTAGTGTGGTCTTTTCAAAAGGTAAATTTAACTAATATATATATATATATAAAATAAAAAAAATAAAGAAACTTTCCAAGTATCCAATGGGTAATTCCTTATCCATTCCAACGGTGCAAGCATCATTGCTTGCCACGCTAGAAAAGTGATTGTAAGAAGTGCACCAGCCCCTACATACAGCCACAGACAGCACTGCCGAGAAAAACCATACACAACCAACCAGATTTGGCATCTCGAGGTGCCAAAACTTTGAAGCAATTCACGTTTCAGTTTCCTGTCACCACTTTGGTTTTGCCACCACAAACTCCATCATTCATAACCTCATCGTCCATAATAAGAAAAATAAATAAATAAAAAGTCATTCTAACTCAAAAATATTTAATAACAACCTTAGAGATTTCTCAAATAAGTTAGAACTATAACTGTTATTTCATATTAAAATCATATTAAATTAAAAAAATATATAAAATAAATACTTTTTAATACAAATCTAATAATTAAAAATAAAAAACCACTAACAACTTATTTTTTTTGTAACAAACTTTTATAGCAACCAACCGCAATGTCATAAACATTCAATTTTGGGGTAGACTTCTATGCTTCTTTACTTACAAAGATAAGTTTTTATTTACAAAATTGAAAGGGTCTAATAGGACTTGCACCACCTAAGTTAATTTTCAAGCTAAGCTTTACACTAACCATAATTTAATTTGGAATCTCATATACTATATCTATGAGATAGAAATTTATATACAACTATGTGATAGTTTTTGCACACGATTTCACAAACGCAATGATTTTCTTAATCTAAATAAGGGTGTTTAATACAATTGTCGCTCAAATTTATCGTGATTTAGTAAATTATCCTCTAAACATTTAATTTTGACCATCAATCTCCTGAAAATTGGTAAATTGTTGCAGTGTATCCCATTTTACTAAATTTACTAAATTTTTTTTATAAGATTTAAATGATTAAAAGTTTAAAAATTGAAAGATTTATATTACATTTGAATTTGGGATGTTAAAATTTTTTATCGACATTACTTTGACACAATCATTGTCAAAATGAGACATATTACAATAATTTTATAAGTTGAGGGGATAACTTTTTAAAATTAAAAATTTAATAGACAAATTACAAAAAAATTGAAATTAAAAACTCAAATAAGTGAAATGAATGAAGTCTAAAATAATATAAGTTCAAAGAGCAAGTGTATAAAATACCCTCTAAATAAGGTAGGTTTTACATGAAAAAACATTTAACTCAAGACATAATGTTTGATATGTTAGGAGAAGATCACTCGACTTGATATCAACTCTTTTGTTTCTTGGTTTAACCATTTCTGTTTAAAAAATTAACGATCAATAGTACAATTAGGATTTTCAAAAAAATAACTTTGGCATCATTATTTTGTTTGTCCTGTTATTTTGGCCTTTTCCCAGTCAGCGTCGCTCAAAAGCACCAGTTTGCAAGTGACACAGATGGGAATCATCAGTCAAAAAAAGGGAATCAGAATATCATATGGTAAGAGAAGAATCAAACGGTAAATAAACCTCATTTATTTCATAAATTTAAATTTTATTATAATAAAAAAATTTAAAAATAATTATATTTAATATTTTATTAAAATTCTTACGTAAAATTATATTTTAATTTAAATTAACAAATTAAACGGCGGAAAGGGTGAACTTATCCGGCGAACAACACCCCTCCAGCCTACATTTATTGTTGGTGTGGGCCCACGCGTGGACAATGGCTCAAGGCTGGCAATCATGTGGCGCTTTCAGATAGATCTGAATGTTGCCAAGGATTTAATTTATGACCCCCTTTTTCTTCCATTTATTTTTACAATTTTTTTTTTAATATCATGCATTTTGAAATTATTAAAAAAAAATCTAAACCTTATAGTTTAAAAGATTAATTTCATAAATACTTTTTAAAATATGTACATCATTCAATGCGCCCTTAAATTTTTTAAAACGGTTCAAAACATCTCTCAATCTATAGAAAATAACTCAAATAACTCCATTCATCCACTTCTGTTTATAAAACTAACGGAAGTGCCCACGTAAGTAAAAAAAGTTTTAAAAAATAGATAATATGACTTTTATATATTTTTTATTTAGAAATATAATAAAAAACATAAAATTTGAAAATAAAAAGGGAAATTCAAGTTAGATGAACTTTTGTATTCACCTCACCTATATTAAAAATTGACCAATATTTTTACATTTTAGTTAAATGTCAGTTTTATTAAAATGATATTTTTCTCATTCATATTCTACTCACAATGTGTTGTCAAAGCCAATGAAAATGAACAATCTTCATTACTGGAGCCATTAAAGATGAATAGTATCGAGATGCTTTCATCTATTTTTGTCTTGTTTGAGTTTATCAATTATTCAAACTGACTATTTAACTAATTTACAGCAGTTATTGTTATCTACTTGAGAAAAGACAACATTAAACGAGTTATTTTTGCTCAAAGTTAAAAAAAAAAAACTAAAATCTCTTAAACCAACCAAGCCAAGGAGATATGGGTTTCGTCTAAATCTGGGTTTTGTCCAAGAAGGCTCCTCGTGGTCTAATTGGACTACTCCGGCGAGCACAAGATATGGGCTTCGGTGCGGTGTTGGAAGGTTTGGCGATCTGGCCTTTGTACTACGAGCTGGGTTCATCGACAATTGAGCGCCCTCAGCGGTTGATGGAGACAACATATTTGATAATAGATACGCTATCATCATCAGTGAATACGACGATTGGTTAAAGCTTGGCGAGGCAGAGATGAGAGAATGATGATAGAGAGATGGGCAGTGAGAGATGACAAGATATCATTTCGACAATGTAGAAGCAGGGACGACGACTCTAGCCATCAAGGTGGGAGGTGGGGCGCTGAACTGAGGGGCGAGGTGAATCAAGAGGGTGGTTGTGGGGTGGGTTGGGTCGCCAGCAGGGGATGGTGGTGGTGACATCAGGAAAAGGGGATGGTAGTTGAGGGTTTTTTTTCCGTTTCTTTATACAAATCTGTTAATGTTATAGATGGAATTGGACAGAGGGAGCACTTTGAACCATTTTTTTATATATTGAGAGGTGTTTTGAACCGTTTTAAACAATTACGGGGCACTTTAAATCAATGTACATAGTTTGAGAGACAATTATGAAAATAATCTTATTTTAAACTGTATTTTATACTTCCAAATTTCACATTGAAGCTAAATATTTTTAGTCCAAAATTGATTTTTGACTATGAATAACATTTAAATATTTTTTACATTTTCAAATATTTATTTATTTTGCTTTGTGGTCATTTAGGACTCCGTGAGGTTTAACGTTGATCCTTGATCAAGAAAAGATAGAAATTTAGCATAAATTCAGAATTTAAAGGTTTAAATGTAATACAGGTTAAAATATAAGGTATTATTTTTTTAATAATCTTAAAATATTGGGTACAAATTAAAATAACTTCTTTTATTTGAGAAAAAATATTCATTTCTTTATCGTTCTTTTTGAGACGTACAAGAGTCAAAATTAAAAGCATAAGCGTGTGGGTATTAGTATATAAAATTAGACGCATATAATATAATAATAAAAAAAATAACTATTATCTCATGAATCTACTTCAAAGTGTGAACTGGCCACTGGCTGTCAATTCTCTCTCTCTCTCTCTCTCTCTCTCTCTCTCTAGTTGTCATCCATTTGATTTTCTCTGCTATTTTTAGTGATGACTGGTTACCGACAAAAGCTTGAGATCAGACAACCAATGTTTTCTCTTCTCTATTTTTTTTTGGGTAGTTAACTGAAAAAAAAAAAAAACTGCCCTAGTTGTGTGCAACCCCCCACAAACCCATGTAAAGTGAAAGGAAAAAAAAAAAAGGAAAGAAAAGAAAATAAAAAATTTTGGAAAAAAAAAGACCGTTCTTTCAAAACTACTTGTCTGTCCACAGTCGCACTTGTCTTCCTCTTTCTCTTTCTCTCTCTAGAGGCTCTGTGTTTGAGTGGTTTTCTCTTCTTCTCTTTCTCCTTTCTGATTATTATGTAAAAATACAGAGAAGAAATAAAAGATTTTTGGCCTAAAAGAGTGTAAGAAAATGGCTCTGGGGAGCTTATTGAGTGTTGTTGTTATCCACATTTGCCTGCTCGTGAGCTTCTCCTTCGCTGCGGATCCTTACGTTTTCTACAACTTTGAGGTCTCTTACATTACCGCTTCTCCTCTCGGTGTTCCTCAGCAGGTTTCTTCTTTCTCTATCTGGATCTCTCTTTCTCTCTCTACACTCTTCTTAACTTAGCTCATTAAGCTAGGATTTTTTCCACGTGGGTATGCCTAGTACTCACAAACGAGAAATGGGTTGCTTTTAGATTCGATTAAGTTTCCACTTTTGGCTCCAGATCTACTAAATGTGCTTAAGTTCATTCCAAAAACTGAGCTTGATTAAGAGTTCTAGTTTTTCAGTAATTTCTTTTAAGAGGGCTTGTGGTAATTTTCGTTTTTTTTTAATCTACATTATTATACGCATTGCAGGTTATTGCCATTAATGGAAAGTTTCCAGGTCCTACCATTAACGCGACTACAAACAACAATGTCGTTGTCAATGTTCGGAACAAACTGGACGAGAGTCTTCTCATTACTTGGTATGATTTATTTTGATTTGCCTGTGAAGTGTGATTTATGAATTGTTACACTGTGGATGTTTAGGCTGTGTTTGGTAAGAGGGAAAGAAAGTAGAAAGGAAGGAAAAGATAGATAATTTAAGTGAGGAAAGTAAAAAATTGTGTTTGGTATGAATTCCCTTCTCCAATCTTTTTAATTCTGGAATGATCAAAATGGGAGTACCGTGCATTCCCTCCTCTAAGAGCAGCTGCAATAGTATAGTAGCAAATTTTACTTTTCAATACTGGGTTAAATTTAGCTTAAATTTTAGCACATTCTAATTTATATCATGTACCTCAAATTTTAATGTTGCCACTAGTTAAATTTCTTATCTACCAATTGGATAGTGGTTGTTGGATGCGTTGTTCTGAGAAATAAATTGGAATAAAAAATTAAAGTAGCATTGTTTTTTTAGTATTGGAGGAGCACAATGAAACCAATATGCTAAATTTAGCATTTTGGCACTATAACAAGCTAAATATAGCATTAGCATGCCTCTAGTCTAGTCTAACCGTAAGTCTTAAGAATGATCCACTAATCTTCCCAACCCTGTCCCACCTTCCACTTTTCCCTCCTACCAAACAAGGCCCTAAAGAGGTTTAGTTAAGTCAAGTGCACTGATGGGATCTTTGTAACAGGGCTGGAATTCAACAGCGGCGCAGTTCATGGCAAGATGGTGTTTTGGGCACCAATTGCCCAATTCCACCAAAGTGGAACTGGACATATAACTTTCAGGTCAAGGATCAGATAGGTAGCTTCTTCTACTTCCCTTCTCTCCACTTTCAAAGAGCATCCGGTGGGTTCGGCGGCTTCATTATTAACAACCGTGCTATAATTCCAATTCCTTTTGACACCCCTGATGGGGATATAACCATTATGATCGGTGATTGGTACACAAGAAACCACACGGTAATTGTTTGTTGGATTTTTCAGACTGTTCTTGTGAAGTAAGAAAAGGAAGTTGTAGTTTTAGTGTTTGATAGTAGCTGCATTTTGGGGTATGTAGGCTTTGAGGAAAACCCTTGATGCAGGAAAAGATCTAGGGATGCCAGATGGAGTTCTCATTAATGGCAAAGGCCCTTACAGATATAATGATACGCTCGTCCCAGAAGGCATTGATTATGAAACATTTAATGTCGAACCAGGTATGCATTGATGTCATTGCTCTCAAATTTCGTTTTCTAATGTAGGGGTACCATTTAAATCTAAATGTGCATGTTTGAACATAGTAATTTTGAGTCTTTTCAGTTGAAGTACGTGTATATATCGTGTCCTTTCCATGCATGTGAAATGGCTAATCTTTTTTTCTTAAGTTTCCTTATTTACTGAATTAGCTCTTGCATATTGCAATAATAACAAAAGGAACGTTACTTTTATAAGTATTGGTGAAGCCAAGGAAGAGTGGAAGTAAGCATTATTTTTAGCTTGTCATTCATTTAAGGTTTCAGTCAGAAAGAACCACAAACTAGAGTGTTATATTATTTACAGGACAGGATTCTCCTGTCTTTTGTTAATTTGTATAATATTTGTTACTAGCTGCAACAAAACAGTGCTAAAGTACTTAAAATGCACACATTACCCTGTGGATTGGAAGTCATTTCTTGGTTAGTATGTCCTTCAATAACGTTTTATTGACCATATCTTTTACGGTTGGATTCTCGAACAGGAAAAACTTACCGCATACGCGTCCACAATGTTGGAATCTCGACTAGTCTAAATTTCAGGATCCAAAACCACAATCTGCTTCTAGCTGAGTCGGAGGGTTCATACACAGTCCAGCAGAACTATACTAGTTTAGATATTCATGTCGGGCAATCGTACTCATTTTTGCTGACGACGGATCAAAATGCAAGTTCTGACTACTACATAGTGGCAAGTGCTAGGTTTGTAAACGAATCGCGATGGAAAAGAGTAACTGGTGTTGCCATCTTGCACTATTCAAATTCCAAAGGCAAGGTACATGGTCCCCTGCCGGAGGGACCAAATGATGAATTTGACAAAACATTCTCAATGAACCAGGCAAGATCTATCAGGTTTGTGCTTCTGCTTGTGATAATATTTCCCAACTGCCTATTTGTGGTCCTTTTGGATTGGCAACTATAAGCAAGTATGACAGGGGCCAAGATTACTTGTTTCTGTCAATTCTCTCTTGATAAATTCTGCTCCAATTTTTTAAGGAAATACTAAATAGTAATCATTCATTATCGAGAGAGTTGATCTGTGACCCTTACAGGATGGTTCAAGATTTCCATTGTTTTCGGAAGAGGGGAGATGGTTCTACCGTTGTAGATTTTTAATTTAAGCAAACCTCTTGAACATAGTATCATCCTCTAAGACCGTTTTATAAATTTGGATGCTTAGTAATCTTTAGTAGTTCACTTCTGAGGATTCTACTTCTATGTCAAAATTATGCAGATGGAATGTATCAGCCAGCGGTGCTCGCCCCAATCCACAGGGATCTTTTAGATACGGCTCAATCAACGTGACCAACATTTATGTGTTGAAAAACAAACCGCCAGTGGAGATTAATGGGAAACGGAGAGCAACTCTTAATGGAATCTCATTTGTCAATCCTTCCACACCCATTAGGCTTGCTGACTGGTTCAAGGTGAAAGGCGGGTACAAGCTTGACTTTCCAAACAGGCCACTCACAGGAGCGCCTAAGTTGGAAACATCAGTCATTAACGGAACATACAGGGGATTTATGGAAATCATACTGCAGAACAATGAGACCAAGATGCAGACCTATCACCTGGATGGATACGCATTTTTTGTTGTGGGGTAGGAATTCGTTTCTCCTTTGCACTTCGTCACATTGACATGTCTACACAATGTTGCTTTCCTCCACAGCAAGATTTTTTGTCACAATGAAATATCATTACATTTGCAGAATGGATTATGGTGAATGGACAGAAAACAGTAGAGGCACATATAATAAATGGGATGGAATAGCCCGCACCTCAGCACAGGTATACTTAAGCACAATTCTGTGCCGTAGTCTCTTATGTTGGCCCTTATCTCCCTATTTATTTAGTATTGAGGCATCCTCTTCTCTGTTGGTCTTCATTACGCTTCCTAAAAACACAAAGTTGAACGTAGCACTTCGATAAAAAAAAAAAAAAAAGAAAAGAAAAAAAAGAAAAATAGACAGTTTTTTAATCTTTATTTTTCATGATCCAAACAGTAGACACTAATAGTTCTCGTTGAGATGAACTATTGATGCTCCTATTGGCTATAGTGTTTTCCCTATGAGTGTTTTGAGTTGACAAGTGCTCTATTAAGTGATTGTTCATTTATTCTGTTCAAGCTCCAACACATTCCTAGTTTATGATATTAACTGAATCCCAGAACTTTAATGTTCCTCCACTCTCTGTTGTTTCAGGTCTATCCTGGAGCGTGGACAGCAATTTTGGTGTCTCTTGACAATGTTGGTATCTGGAACCTGAGAACTGAGAATCTTGACTCATGGTATCTTGGCCAAGAAACATATATCAAGGTTGTCAATCCGGAAGCTACTAACAAAACCGAGCTGCCCATACCGGATAATGCCCTCTTCTGTGGCGCTCTCAACAAATTGCAAAAGTATGTGCCGTTGATTTTTTTTTTGGTAACATGATCTAACAGAAAATGTTAACATCATGATAAAAGCAGTTTCTTGATGTCATGAAACTAAAATATAAGTAAAAAGGCTGGAACAAACAGTAATTTCAGTTTTACAGATTGCATGGACTTATGACACCTATGCATTCACGGTTGAGGCTGGCATTTGAAACATCACATCTTCTTTTTCCTCCTTTCAGGCCACAAGATATCTCTTTTGCAACATCAATCAGCGGCAACGCATCAAACTTGTTCTTCACGTTGCTGATGACCATCTTTGCTGCAATTCCCATTTTCCGCTAAAGCCGTTTCTTCCAGAGTTTTTCCGTGATTATCCCGATCGGTCATGGTGGCTTCTTTAGTGAGGTTTGTGATTTGGTGTGTTGTTTTAGGCTTGTAAGTTTTTAGTAGTCTTGTTGATAATGAATCTTTCGGTGATTTTGACTAGCGTTTTTCTCCCTTAGATCTTCTTCCCCCGTGTATTTCCTTGTTTTAATTTAATTTATTGGGGATGTTGTTATCATTCTTTTAATAACTATCATTTATGTATTAATAACGATACAACCAATTAATTCAAACCAACTTCTTGCCTTGGCTTAAGTTGGTCCTCAAGTACTAATATTTGTAACCTCTACGAAAGTAAATTTTAAGCTTTAAATTTACCTATGTATTATGTTGAATTTTAAGCTTTAAATAAATAATTATCTCCCATAAACAAGACAATTTACCTATCTAAGCCAATGAAAGTGACGCATATCAACAAAAAGTATTGCTTGTAAGATAGCAAGGCTGGTACGTACTGTACTATGCTAGAATATGGTGGACCAACTTTGTAATGGTGTATTCTTCTTTTTTATTTTTATTTTTATTTTTGTTTTTTTTAAGGTCCTATACAAGTGGACAAAACTTTAATGTTTTTTGGTGCTACCATTTGAAACCCCATTGTTGTGGTCCAATTTTTGTTAGTGTTTCTTTAGGGTTCTGTGGTGTGGTCACATAGGCCAGTTGAAATATCATATATGACAGATTCATTTATTGTGTCACATCAAACATGAAAATTGCACATAATTGATGATGGCCTCTTTCTATTCTAATCTGTACGTGTTTTGAGACGCTGCCGTTTTGACTCTGATATTGTAGTGTCCTATATATTCTCTGATGAAATCCCATAATAATTAATCATTCAGAAGCCAGAGGATGTTTCTTATACATACGGCCTCGTAATATATATAATACATATATGTGTGTGTGTGTGTGTGTGTGTGTATACACACAGATACCAATTTGTCTGTCTTGTTGCAACTTGTGGATGCTTTGGTTGGTTGTGGTTAATAATGTTTGTCCAACAATCCATGTTGACAAGGAAGTTCCTCTGCTGAATGGCTAGCACTCGTCGTCTTCTATGCCCTTCCCTGTGCCCAAATAAAAAACAAAATTTTTTAAGGTGAAAGAATAAAGAAAGTTATTTATAGGTTATTGGGCTTGAGGCAGTTTATTTTTTCTAAAATTTATCCTATATGAGTGAATTTTTACCTCTTATTTTTGATAAATATTTTTTTATTGGTGTAATTATTTGATTAAAAAAGTTATGAATCAAGTGTAAAATGTAAAAATCTTGACTCATGCGCTTTTAAAGAATATTTGTTAAGATTACTCTTTTCTTTACGAGAAAAAAAAGATATCTAAAATTGTGAGAAGGCCTAAAGATATATCACAAGTCATTAGCGACATGTCAAATTGTAAAAATAAACAAAAGGAAATTAATTATTTTCGTTCATAAATGTTAATTATTTTCATTGATTAAGGTACTTTACCAACCCCTCATAATATAGAATTGGAATGACTATGGTACCGCGGGCTCTATCGTTAGTATTTTATTTTAAACCGTCTTGAAACTCAATGGTTTAAAATTGAGTTTCTATATAAATAACAATAAATCCAACCACATTGAATACTAACCTTTAATATTCTAATTAATAATTAAAAGAAAAAAACTGTGGCCACCATCGTCTATTGTGATCAACAACTGCCATCCACTCGGAGGGGGTCGCCCTCTCTCTTTGGCGAATCAGGAGTCCATCACGACCACTCTCTTTGTTCTCTCTCTTGTGCGCGTGAGATTTTCTTCTTCTTCGACGCGAGCTGCTCGTTTAGAATTGCGGCAAGGGTTATGACTCTCAATGAACTCAATTTCACTTTGATTTCGTAAACTTCTCCATCGTCTTGATTTTACGAACTTCATCATTGGGCTTCCTGACAAAGAACGATAGAACAACTCGTGGATGGGTCGCGATCGTCACAAACAATCCCTTGATGACCGCACTTACTAAGATTTGGATCTTTGTAGATTTTGGGTGGCTGACGGTGGCATATGAGATTTGTTCTCCTCGTTTTTCCTCTCTCTATCTTTTTATTTTTTTAATTTTTTAATTTTCAACATTTTAGGTTTTAATGAATTTGATATACTGTAATCAAATGCATTTTTGTTTCTATGAGGCAACATCATCATGGGCGTTCAATTCTTATCCAACGGATTAAAATATGCACACTATCTATTAAACTATGCACACTATGATATTGTCACTTTTATATGACCAATACTTTTTTTTTCTTATCTTTTGATGAAGCTACGTAATTAGAAAGTTAATGAAATAGAATAGTACGACACTAAAATGCTAGGGCAACATCAATCAAATTAGGAGAACAAACCAGTTTAAGGCTTTAAAGAGAATAATAAAACACACAAAATACTAAAATTATATCAATTTAATTAAAAAAATAGAGAAAAGTATATTATTTGTCATAATTTTATGCATGGCTATCATTTATCTCACTTTAAATAATTAAGTGCCATCATGACTTTTTATTTTGTCTTATTAATTGAATGACAATTGTTTATTTTTGAGTAGAGTGATATAATTAAAAATTATTTGCTATCTAGAGTGACATTTTCTGGTTTTTCCCTTGTAACTACACAATGTAGTGTATGTTACACGGATTTATTACTAGTAATGTCAAGCTACCTTGCTATTCCCAATGCATGAATATATAGAATCATCACTAATTTTTAAATGATCATATGCTAAGTATATATCCTCCATAGTGACAGCTTTATACAAGGATGCAAGGTCTCCTAGGCATGATATGTCCTAAAAAAAAATACAAGGTCATATTGTTAATAAATGTAAAGCAGCATTTAAAATATTTATAAAATGTTAAAATTAGTACTCTTCTTAATTCTTATGTCTACAAACGATCACTTCTAATTATCGGATCGGAGGTTGAGATTTTATAAATGTACAATATACATATATTAAAATATTACCTTCCTTGAAACATAAGAACCTTGCAAAAGGCATAGCAATTTAAGGCAATAAGAATTTGACTTCATTTCTTCTTCGGGTCTCTTTAGCATACATCCTCGTACCTGTAATTGCAAAACCTTAAAGGATATTATACACATACATATAATGACTCTCATTCTTATAGGTTTTAATTTTACCTTTGGACAAGCAAATATTTTAAAACTGTTTGTTCAAAAATTAATGGTTATGTTTTGTAACTAGAACAATTACATTAGCGCTTGTACCGATAGCCGAAAAAACAGCTGATGCATTTGCCTTAATACTATTTAACCAATTTATGTAATTAATTTTTTTTATTAGTGAGGGAAAAAAAATACTGTTGGAGCCTCCTTTATGAGTATATAATGTGTATATGGATTGTATAATTAAATGAAAATGTTAATAGTTTACATTGAAAGGGCTGCTAACCTGCCCCAGAAGGTTTGGAGAAAAACTCGCACTACGAAAATCTTTAAGAACTTTCTTGCATGCATCAACACTTTCATGAACTTGCATATGTTCTTTCGTAAGCAAGGATAAAAATATTGATATCTTATGAAAACATCGATACTCAAATTTACAAAAATATCGATATCTGTAAAAATTGATATAGAATACTCAAATTCATACTAAAACACTTATTTTAATGAGATCTAATATACTCTAAAATAACTAATAATATATAAATTAGATGAAACTTTCAATCAAAATACCAACTGTATGATAAGTACGCAAGGTAAAATGTGATCATAATACCATAAATGATAAACACACATTTACAAATAAGTAAAATAGCTGAAAGTCAACCTAATACAAAAAACTTATATCAATGGTTTCATACAAGATGACAAAATTATCAATACTAAAAGAAGCTTCTAAAAGATTCCAAGGTATTTTGAAAACATTCTTGATTTAAATAATATTGATAGCAAGACATAGAGTTTGAAAGAAAAATGCATAAATTTTACATTAATAAAAAGTAAAATGTAAAAGATAAAAAGTCATCAATGTTTCCGGAAATTTTACTGATATTTTCACAATATAAGATCATTTAACAATACACCTTCATGGAAATATCCACTTCGAGAATATATTGATATTTACAGATATTGAAAATTTTAGGATATTGTATAGAAATTTCTAAAATGATATTTCAGAAATATAGAAATTTCCGAAAATATCGAAGGAAATGTCAATTTTGCAATCTTGTTTGTAAGAAACTAAAATAACATATATTTTTTTTTCAATTATAAATGTAAAGGTGAAAATAAGGGGTGAAAAAATCTTACCTTAAGAGGAGTTGATGTTATGGATATCACATACCATCCAAGATTTAGCTTATCACATAAGTGTATATCCAATTTTGCTTCATATACAAAACAAGAATAAATAACATCTCCAAAGAGCCTGTATGAAATATTCGTGCAAATTAACATATCATTGTAATTATTTTAACTCAAACTTAAATCCAAAGTAAAATCATCATTAAACTATGACTATAAAATGCAAAGAAGATTAATTCATATTCATGTATTTACCTGCACAAGCATTAGTTGACAAGATCGGGAATATCTTAATTCAATGATAGAAATATTTTAAAATTATTATAACCTAAATTTAAATAACTCTCAACAACATATTTTTATTTTGATTTTAATTAAATGAGAATATTGCTGAGTAGAATTTACAATATTTCTATAAGCTCGGTCAAGAACTCCATTGTGATGCGAAAGAAAAACAGATGACCACGAATAGCCAATCTTCCCCCTCAATTGACTTCGACTCAAGATAGTGTTTGATTGATTACCACATGAGATTTGTAAACTTGTGCTTATCATTAGATTCATTAGATTTACTTTAAACTATTTTACTTATTTGTAAACTTGTGCTTATCATTAGATTCATTACCACATTTTACCATACATATTTACATACAATTAGTATTTGATTGAAGTTTCATCTAATTTATGTATTATTAGCCGTTTAGCGTATATTAAATTCATTTAAAATAAAGTGTTCTAGTATGAATTTTCGTATATTACATCAATTTACCCGATTAGTTATTTTCGTTGTAAAAACCTCATTATACCCGCCCAAGAATCAGTATAAGTTGACAAATTACGGGACAGATTTCTCCATGGGTAATGGGTATCATGATGCCCCATTTACCCGATTAGTTATTTTCATTATAAAATAAATTTATAAATAATTAAACAATACATCCATACAAAACATTAAGTTAAAAATAAAAAA